CAACTGTTAGTTTGCCGATATATCTTCAATGGAACATCGGACAATTAGGATTCTCTAAGCCAAATAATCTAATGCGATGAGAATTCATTTTTATTATATGGAATTTTGTTTTGATCTGTCAAAATATCATTAATACTCATCAAATATTGTTTTAACCACGGATGAAATTGAAGTAGGATGAGAATGAATTCCCATTACATTGGATTACATCAACCAATGAGACCTTAAAGTTTAAAATTTTAGTTTAAAATATTTGAGTTTGAATTTTAAAATGAATAGGAAATATTAAAGGAGATAATTAAGATATATTAATAAGATAATTAAAATAAAAATGTTTTAAATTTAAATTTAAATTTAATTAATTTATAAAATTATTTTAAAAAGATAATATTTATCTGAAACTCAAACTATATTCTTAATCTGCTATTTTTTTAGTATTTGCTAGTGGATTATTTAGGTATGGAACCTAGGACTAAGGGCAACAGCTTTTGGCTGTAGACATGAATCATTGGGTCAAAATGCCAGTTCAAGAAAGATGTGAGATTTGAGAGGAATGATTGTATTTGACAAATCTTTTTTTTTTCTCAATATGAAAAGAAATTATATATATTTTTTATATTAACCCTTTTATCAGTTATATGAAATAAGATTTTAATTAGTATTGATTAATATTCATCTTTTTTGATAAAAAAAATTTTAGATTTGAATATTTTTTATGGTCATTTATTAAGATTATTTTGAATATATGATATGTAATTATTTACTTTAAATTATTAGATATGACATATCTTATCTTGATTTAAAGAATTGAATAATTTATCTACTCCGAATTTTTTTATAAAATTTTTTTTAATTAAACTATATAATTTTAAACAAATAGCTAGTACAATTTTGTTCACTCTCATCCTTTGTGGAAAAAGCTATGTAATATAGTTTGAGATTAATAAATTATTACTTTTTCATAATCAAATTTCATCTTATTCTCAGCATTGAAATGAACTCATCAAAGAGAAAATGTAGAAAAAATCTTAATTTTTCTTCTCAACAAGTATGAATGTTTTCGTTGAAGAGTTTATATGTAAAATTATATTATTAAACCAATGAATTATTAGTCTAATGATATAAGAATCGACTTAAAAATTGAAGGTCTCATGTTGAAGACTACCGCTAACTTTGATCAGACCTCATTTAACAGTAATGGCTGTTAAATACTGATAATAAAAAAAAAAAAACTGATATATCAAAATCAAACAGAAGAACTGCTCCATGATTTTACTATGTCAAATAGTAGTATAATAAAATTGTAATGCCTAATCTTCAGCAACAAGAATATCAGAAAACGACATTGTTAATCAATTAAGCAGATGATGGGCAGAGGCAAAGGTCCCTCCCATGACATAAAGTGGACATACTTTAGCAATAGAGCAGCCAAATTACAATAAATAATTGTCTCAAAAGTGACAGCACCCTTCCCCTACAATGTTGTACTGGTTAACAAATGATCATCATTATAAGTTGTCCAGCTCCACTGATAGGATAGCTGTTTGGAGGGGAATATATTTTCCTTTGAACAAGTTAGGTGGTTTTTTTTATTTATTTATTTATTTAATGAACAGATTCCAATATAATAAAATTTATTCATATTTATTAAAAATCTTA